TAAGAATAAATAATAATAATATATAACAAAATATCTGAGGTAACTCCTTTTACTTTATTTCTGCAATTATTTCATTCTTCCATTTTTCCTCTTTTTGATTGAAAATTTTAAAACACAAATTTCTTACTAAAGAAACGAATTTTTGTGAGATATTTGAATAATTCCAAATACAATTATTATTAATTAAATTAATAAACAAAAGGGAAATTTGGCAGTAAATATGGTTGACAATATAAATTCCAACAATTTTTCTCCTTTTTTTCTTAAATCTTTTTATTCATTTTTTTTGCATACGATTTATTTATATTTATTCATTTTATTTATTTGTATTTTCTGCAGCTAAGTTTGCATTTTCCGCAGCTAAGTTTATATTTTCCGCAGCTAAGTTTATATTTTCCGCAGCTAAGTTTATATTTTCCGCAGCTAAGCTCATATTTTCCGCAGCTAAGTTTATATTTTCCTAAGTTTATTTAAATTAAGCATCTAAGTTTATTTAGAATCAATAAAACATTTTCTTTTTTTTTTCAATGTAAGAAATGGAGGATGATATTAATTAATTAATTAAATGACAAATAATATATGAAAGAGTAACAGAGAAGTGTAATTGTTTTTCTCTTTTTCCGTTTTCTTTTATTTTTTTAATGTTTTTTAAAATGTGAAAAGTTGAGGAAGAATGAATGAAGGAAGAGGAAGAAGAAGAGGAAAGGAAGAGGAAGAGGAAGAGGAAGAGGAAGAAGAAAAGGAAGAGGAAGAGGAAGAGGAAGAGGAAAAGGAAGAGGAAGAGGAAGAGAAAAAGGAAGGAGAAAATTGTGAAGGTAAAAAAGAGCTAAAAGAAAAGAATTGAAATGATTGGTAATATTTTCGTCCTCTCACGAAATAATCATTTTCTTCTTCTCTTTCTCTCTCTCCCTCTCTCTCTCTCTCTCCTTTTCTCTCTACCTCTTCTCTTTCTTGACGTATAAAAGCAACCAGTCTTTAACAAACTTTTCAAACCATATTCTACTTTGCAAAATTTTCTTTCTTAATTTCTTAACGAATAATTTATTAACAATTGAAATCGCAATTTGTTTTTATCTTTAAATTACTGCTGCCATTATTAGGATTAAACTTTTTTACGCCTAAATTTAAATAGTCGACGAATTGACGAAATACTGAAATGTTACTGATAACTCCTTGTGTAGGGTGATTATTACCTTAGACGTCTTCGTCTATATCTGCGCCTTGTACAACGTGATTATTACTTGTAATCGTCTATATCTACTCCTTGTGCACCGTGACTAATACCTGTAATGTCTTCGTCGATATCTACGCCTTGTACAGCGTGATTAATACGTATTATGTCTTCGTTTATATCTACCCCTTGTACAGCGTGATTATTACCTTAGACGTCTTCGTCTATATCTACGCCTTGTACAACGTGATTATTACCTGTAATCGTCTATATCTACTCCTCGTATAGCGTGATTAATACGTGTTATGTCTTCGTTTATATCTACGCTTGTACAGCGTGATTATTATCTTAGGCGTCTTCGTCTATATCTACGCCTTGTACAACGTGATTATTACTTGTAATCGTCTGTATCTACTCCTTGTGCACCGTGACTAATACCTAATATCTTCGTCGATATCTATGCCTTGTACAGCGTGATTAATACATGTTATGTCTTCGTTTATATCTACCCTTTGTACAGGTGATTATTACCTTAGACGTCTTCGTCCATATCTACGCCTTGTACAACGTGATTATTACCTGTAATCGTCTATATCTACTCCTTGTGCACCGTGATTAATACCTGTAATATCTTCGTCTATATCTACGCCTTGTACAACGTGATTAATACGTGTAATGTCTTCGTTTATATCTACGCCTTGTACACCATAATTAATACGTGTAATTTTTTGGTCTATATCTACTCCTTGTACACCGTGATTAATACCTGTAATGTCTTCGTCTATATCTACGCCTTGTACAACGTGATTAATACGTGTAATATTTTTTTTCGCCTACCTTTGCCTTGCACAGCGTGATTAATACCTGTAATGTTTTCGTCTACATCTGTGCTTTACGAAGTTTGATTAATACGTAGAACATCTTCATCTATCGTCTAAATTTATGAAGCACGATTAATACGTGTAATGCTTTTTTTCGTCTACATCTGTGCTTTGGTGCAGCATGATTAATACGTGTAATGTGTTTTCGTCTAGATCTGCGCCTTATGAAGTTTGATTAATACATATAGCATCTTCGTTTATCGTCTAAATCTACGCCTTGTGAAGCGCAATTAATATGCGTGATGTTTTTTTTCGTCAACATCTGTGCCTTATGTAGCGTGATTAATACGTGCAACGTCTTCGTGTACACCTACGCTTTGTACAGCGTGATTAATACGTGTAATGCCATTTTTGATATTTGCTTTATTAAAATATGCAAATAAATAGATGATATCTCATGCATTTCAAGTTTTTGCTCCAAATGACAATATTATACTTGTTATTTGTAATTTATAATTATTTACCGCATTTTTAAAATTTGAAATTAAAAAACGAAATGAACAATCAAATTAGAAATGAATGATTTTCACGTGCTCAGGTAATTTCATGTAATTTTCACCTAATAATTTTCTCTTTTGTTTTTGATACATTGATCAGGTAATTACAAAATAGGAATAATTTAATTAGTGAAACGGAGAACAAATCGATAAAGAAAGAAGCGTAAGATAGGATTTGATGAAGTTAGCAGATATATGGATATATTTGTTTTATTTTTATAATTAATTCCATAGTTTGAAACAAAAAAAAGTATCTAATGGAATAATTGTTTGTAATATCGGAAAAATTATTATACGAAATCCGGAATCCGGAATCAGGAATAATTTGTTACTTGTAAAATTTTTTTGATATAAAATTGCAAGAAAATTCAGGAATAATTTGTTATTAAAATTGCAAGAATTTATTATTGAAATTAATTTATTGAAATTTTCTCATGCATCTATTTCATTCATTTTTTCTTCTTTCTTTTCTCTTTCTCTCTCTCTCTCTCTCCCTCTCTCTCTTTTATTCTTTATTTTCCTTTACCTATTTACCTATTGTGTATTTTTGACAAAAATTTCTATTTCAAAAATTTATTTTCGAAATAAATAAATTGAAAATATGAGAAAGGTAAGCAACATAAACTTACGAAATATTATTAAAGGTATGAAAACAGGTTCTTCATTTTTAAATCTCAAACTAAAAAGTGATAAATTTTATTACAGTTCTTTTTAACCTTCTTTTTTTTTCCCCTAATTAATTTAATTAATAATACATCAACGAAAGAATTTTTGATAGAGTAAATAAAAAGGGAAATAATCCAAAATTATTTTTATTAAATTAGTATGGAAAAATTATCGTAAAAGAAAAATTAAAACATTTCATACATTAATTGAATTAATGAAAAGAATAAATTCATTTATGATCGCATTGATCGATAGAGAAAATTATAATTTTAAATTTAAAAATAAAATTTTAAATGAAGGAAATTTAAAGAATTGTTTAAGAAATTCAATTTGTCGTAAATTCTTTGTTTTCAAATTAGTTGAATTTTAGTAAAAGTTGATATTATTGAAAAAGAAATTAAAAATGCAACAATTTTTCACGTTTATGCAAATATTTTACTCATAAAATTTCTTACAAAGAAATGAGCACAGCAAATATATTTTGGTAATTTTGATTGTTTCCAATTTAATTAATTAATTTACTTTAATTCATCCATTCTAATCATTCAAATATTATAATATCACTAGTTAATTAATTAATTTACTTTAATTCATCCATTTCAATCATTCAGATATTATATTATAGCTAGTTAATGAAATAATTTAGTTTAATTCATCCATTCCAAACATTCAAATGCTATATTATCATTAATTACCAATTAATTTACTTTAATTCATCCATTTCAATCATTCAGATATTATATTATCACTTCTAATTTTAACTGTAAGATAAATTTCAATTTTTTTAATTTTTATTAAAATAAGGAGCAGTGTGAAAGTTTCTCGGAAATAAACCTGAAATATATTTTTATAAAACATTTTATAAGTGATAATTTCTTTTTCCATCTGTTATCATTAATTAATTAAATTTTGAAAAGTGATAAATGATCATTTCATTTTTGCTGTTAAAATGATAACGAAAAAGAAAAAGATCAGAAAAAAAGGAAGAGTAGCGAAATACCGGAATCAAAGCGGATTCCATCAATCATTAATTTTAAAATGCCGAATAACGAATACCGCACCGGTAAAATGCTAAATTTACCTTTTTTTTTTAATTAATTACTACAATTTTAATTATTAGTCGCTGGCAACTTTCAATAATGCAAAAATGTTTGATAATAATTCCCGTACTTATTATTGTTTTATTTCTATTAAATTTAATTGTTATTGTGGAAATTAATTTAGATAATTAAGAAATTAATTAATGATATAAATAGTTGAGTGCAGCAATTATAATAGAAATTTATTAAATTAGTAATCAAATTCAATAGAAAACCTATAATCATATTCAAATTTATGATTATAAGAAAAGTACAAAGGTGAAAAAAAATGTCACCAAGTCAGTTAATTCAAATTTATAATTATAGGAAAAGATGTGAAGGTAAGAAAATGTTGTCATCAATTTTCAGTTAACAATAGCTATGAAAAGATATTATAATAGGTAAGAAAAAGTTGTCACCAAATCAGTTAATTCAAATTTATAATTATAGGGAAAGATATGAAGGTAAAAAGAATGTCATCAAATTAGCTATGAAAAAATATATTATAAAAGGTAAGTAAAAATTGCCACCAAGCCAGTTAATTCAAATTTATAATTATAGGGAAAGGCATGAAGGTAAGAAAAAATTGTCATCAAATCAGTTAACATTAACTATGAAGAAATAATAATAATACTATGAAGAAACTATGAAGAAATAATAATAATAATAATAATAATAATACTATGAAGAAACTATGAAGAAATAATAATAATAACAACTATGAAGAAATAATAATAATAATAATAATAATAATAACAATGATAATAATAATAATGATAATAATAATAGTAACAATTAATAATAATAATAATAATAATAATAATAACAATGATAATAATAATAATGATAATAATAATAGTAACAATTAATAATAATAATAATAAGTACAGCGATCAAAGTTAAGCATATACTATTTTTTTGAAAAGACAATCAATTAAAGGTAATGTAGAGAATGAGTTTTTAAATTTGACAAAAATTTTCGAAATTTAATCACTGTTTTATCTTTTCTTTTATCATACTGAAATTGAACATTAAAATTAATAATTTAAAAACTTGAATATGAACTTTTAACCAAAATAAAAATATAATTTTCGCGTGCTAAACTTGATATTATTATGGTAGAAATAATATGATGATTTCATTTGTTAGATAAAATTAATATTCGCCATCGAAATCATTAATCTTATTAATATTCGCTATCGATATCATTAATCATATTAATATTCGTTATCGATATCATTAATCATATTAATATTCGCTATCGATATTCATCAATCATCGTTTTTTAAATGTATTCCTATCTTAGCTATTAATTTATCATTCGAGTTATTTGTTATTTATAACATTTATAAATTTACCTGCCATTTTCCATTATTCATATAAACAGTTTAATTAAATTAAATTTTAATTTATCAAAAAAAAAGGAAACAACAATTTAACCTGATTTAAAGCAAGTATACTGATAACAATAAATATTAATAGAAGCATTATTGAATTTCAATTTTACACTAATTCCTCTTTACACCTTTTACACTCTCTTTTACAAATTATTTTTTCAAAATTAGTCAACATATTGTATCGATTACCTTTTAGGTTAATCATTACTTTATCAGTATTTTGTATTATTGTCTGAATTTATCATTTAATAATCATTTAATAATTTGATACTAATTTCTATTCATTTAATTTTTTAATGAATAAAATAGGCCGAATAATTGCCACTTTAGGTAGAATTTATAAGAGATATGCAAAATAATGAGCGATTTTCGCAAATGCTCAGCCAAAAGTATTCGTTACAATAATTAGCTAAATTTAATTGAATTTTATACCAAACAATTATTTTGACTTATTTTTTTAATCATTTGATAAAGCAATATTTTGCTTATGCAATTATTGTTATTGATATCTTATATTTAATAATTAGTAATTGCATATATTTAATAAGGAATTAATCTATTTTCAAATTGGTAAATAATATTTCAATTTCTGATACTATTAATTAGTTGACAGTAAATCATCAATTAGTATCGATTCATTTTTTAGTAGTATTTGATTTATTATACCATTACTCCAACAATGGTATAATAAATCAATTACTATTGAAAAGCTAAAAATTCCGAATTTACATATGTGTAATATAAAGAGTTAAAATTAGATTCTAAACTTTCGTAATAAATGAATCGATGTATACAGTTAACAAATTACCTGTTCAAATCATCTGTTTAACAAATTACTGTAAAGTTATTACAATACCTACTCAAATTACCTATTCATTTATCAATCTATTCATTTATCTAACTCATTCATTCAGTATTCATCGTTCAATTTCTTTCGTTCAATAAATATATATATATTTCAATCATTTATTTGAAATCACCTATGGAATAAAAGAAACCAATCATTTTTATTATTAGTATTAATTATTTTTTGTTCTTTATTATCACCAATAATTATTTATTGTTTGTTTATATTTATGCGCAAATTATTTGTTGTTTGTTTACATTTCTATTCAAATTACTTGCATATTTTATTTGCATGTCAGCCAATTATTAAATATTTTACAATTATAAACAAACAAAAAAAAATATTGTAAGTTTGCAAAATTTGGAAAGTGAAAAATTTTTTTTAAGTAATTAAATCTATTTTTCAATTATTTAAAATGCTTTTTGCAACTCAAAAATTGCACAATTTTAAATTTAGCACGTTTAAGAAAAAATGGAATGGATCAATCAATTTTTTTAGGATTAAATTAACTCATTAACCTTAAAAAAATTCAAATTGCGCAAAAATTTATTTTACGCAATTCCATCTTTTTTTTTGTTATCGGTGACAATTTCGCAAAATGAATTGAATATTATAATGTAACTGTTCAAATTGCTCAAATTATCAATTTAATCCTTTTTTTTTCTTTCTCTTGATTTGCTTCTCCGGTTAGAAACCGGTTTTACCATTGAAGCAATTTTGCAATCAATTGTATCTTTTAAGTAATAATAAATTACACAAATATATATATATGAATATATATATGCATCAATGCAAATATATTATGAGTATGGTTAGTAGTGAAAATGATAGCAATAATAAATTACAGAAATATATATATATGTATATAAATATGCATCAATGCAGATATATTAAGTATGGTTAGCAGTGAAAATGATAGTAATCATAAATTACGCAAATATGTATATGTATATAAATATGCATCAATGCAAGTATGGTTAGTAGTGAAAATGATAGCAATAATAAATTACACAAATATATATATATATGTGTGATAGTAAAATGATAGTAATAATGAATTGCACAAATATATATATATATTATTATAAGTATGGTTAAGTGAATATATATATATATGTGCATCAATGAAAATATATTATAAGTATGGTTAGTAGTGAAATAACTGAAATTATGTATCTAAAAAATGAAGAATTTTTAAATTCTATTTTTTTAGTGGCAATTTCGCAATTTTAAATTTAATTCTTTTTGCAATTTTACATTTTTAAAATTCATTTCTTTTTCTGTAATTTCTCTTCTTCTCCTACGAAATGATGCACTTTTATTGACTTTTAAATGAAAATTCTTTGAATTTATAAAATTCTTCGTTCTTTTCTTCAAATATACTTTAAATAGAAAACAAAGAATTTACCAGCGATCGTTTAGTGATTACATTATTCGTACTGAAAATGGGAGAAATGAAAAGATGAAATAAACAATGATTAGAATGGAAGACTATTAATTTGAATTTATTATATAATTCAATTAGCAAAACTTTTTTTAATGATTTTAACTAAACATATTTATATTCTTATCTTTGTTTATTTAATATATTATATTATACATTTAATGAAGTGAATTCATTATTGCAAAAAATGAAGTAAATTAATTATTGTGTATTCATATTGTATTTTATTATATTATATTATATTATATTATATTATTATATTATACTATATTATTATTGTATTATATGTATTAATATTATTTGCTTATATTTTATATTTATTTATTGAATATTTGTTTATTGATAGAAATAAAATGAAAAAGGTATTCAATCCGATCGATTTAACGGCACATTTAATGAAGTAAATTAATTATTGTAAGAAAAATACATTTCATTAAAATGATAAATGCCAGCAATTTAATTTCAACAAGTTTTCGTTTTTCTTTTTTCTCTCTAAAATTTTTAATTTCATTAACAACAAAATTTTATCATTTTGAAAAATCAATCAGTGAAAAATAAAAATTGTTTGTATGTTTGTGTATGATCATTTTCATTTAAGTAATTGATAAAATTTTATCACTTCGAATTTTTAATTTTAAATTCAATCACAAATTAAATAACATTTCGAAAAAATTAAATTACTGTATGTTTGCAAATTTGTAAAAGTAAAAAATTGCTTCAATAATTTATTTAATTTTTTAATTACCTAAAATGTTAATGCAATTTTTTGCAACTTCAAAAAAAAAAAAATTTAAATATGACACAACAACAACAAATGGAAATGGATCAATCGATTTTTGAAAATTTAAAATGGATCAATCAATTCTTGAAGAATAAATTATTTAAAATTAACCTTGAAAATTTAAATTTCGAAAAATTAATTTTACGCAATACCTTTTTAGTGGAGAGCTAGTTTTGCAAAATGAATTGAATACTACGTAACTGTTCAAATTATTACATCTCTCTCTCCCTCTCTCTCTCTCTCTCTCTCTTTGTAGGTGTATGTGTATGTGTGTGTGTGTGTACATTTTTGTGTGTCACATTCATATGTGAAAACTTGTCGCGTTTGTTATTTCGTCAATTTCAATTTCTCCATTATGCATATTTTAGAGTTAATTTTTATTACAAATGAATCAGTTCATTTTTTTTTTTAAATATTTCATTTATTATTTTTTAATTTAATTAATTTCATGTTTTTTTCCTCGCTCCTTTGACGGTAATATTATTTATTATTGCCGACAAAGAAAAATTATTTAATAAATAATAAAGCTTTCTTTTAAAATAATTTCATTTACTATTTTGCTATAAAACTATTACTACTATTATTGTTATATTTAACTAAATGTTTCTTTTCCTTTCTCTCCACCTTATAAAACATCAAACAATAATAATTCTCATTAATTATTCTTTTAATAAAGATATTCAAATTATTTTATTAAAAAAAAGAAAACGGAAAAGAGAGAGAGAGAGAAAGAAAGAAAGAAAATTTTCACTGTATTTTTCAATAAAGATGTTAAAACTTTTTCCTTTCACTTCCCAAAAAAATTCTTTCCCATTTTCTTATCAATGATTAATTTCATTTTATTTTTTAATAAAAAATTGAAACATTAAAGTGATGAAACCGTTTTCTTCCGTTCTTCTCTTCCAATCATACATTTATTTTTTAATTTCAAATATTTTTATTTCATTTCATTTCATTTCGATTCATTTCAATTCATTTCATTTCATTACATTAAATTTTAATACATTTCAATTCAATTCAATTCATTTCATTTCATTTCGATTCATTTCAATTCATTTCATTTCATTACATTAAATTTTAATACATTTCAATTCATTTCAATTCATTTCATTTCATTACATTAAATTTTAATACATTTCAATTCAATTCAATTCATTTCATTTCATTTCATTTCAATTCAATTCAATTCAATTCATTTCATTACATTATATTTTAATACATTTCAATTCAATTCAATTCATTTCATTTCGTTTCACTTCACTTCATTTCATTTCACTTCATTTCAATTCATTTAAATTCATTTCATTACATTAAATTTTAATACATTTCAATTCAATTCAATTCATTTCATTTCGTTTCACTTCACTTCATTTCATTTCACTTCATTTCAATTCATTTAAATTCATTTCATTACATTAAATTTTACTACATTTCAATTAATTTCTTTTTCAACAAAAAAAAAATTTTATGAAAATAAATGGTGATGACGGTATTTGAGTATTTCATTTCATTTTATTTCAACCCATTTCAATTCATTTCATTTCATTTCATTTCATTTCAATTCATTTCGACTCATTTCATTTCATATCATCACATTAAATTTTTTTACATTTCAATTCATTTCAATGCACTTCTTTTTCAAAAAAAAAATAATTTTTATGATAATAAACAATGATGATGGTATTTGAGTATTTCATTTCATTTCATTTCATTTCAATCCATTTCATTACATTTAATTTCAATACATTTCAACTCATTTCTTTTTTAACAATAGAAATTGAAAATAATTGAAAGTGAAAATAAATAATGATGACAGTATTTGGGTATTTCATTTCATTTCATTTTCATTTCATTCGAAACCATTTCATATCAATTCATTTCATTTCATTTCGTTTCATTTCATTTCAATTCGTTTCAATCCATTTCAATTCATTTCTTTTTTGACAGAAAACATTTTATGAAAATGAATAATAATGATAGTGTTTGGTAGTATCTTTATTTGCATTTTGTATGAAAATTTTTTTCGTTTGTTATTTTTGCTTTATTTTCAATTTTTCATTTATTTACCATATCAATTATTCTTTTTTTTTTTTCAATAATAAATAATAATCAAAAATTAACTATAAAGAATGAAAGCTTATCTTATATGATATAATAAATAAAATTTGATAAATCAAATGTTGATGACAGCGTTTGGGAATATCATTTATATACATATTTTGTAGGAAAAATTTTTTCATTTAAAATTAAAAAATTTCATTTCAAAGATACGAATTTAAAAGCCATCTATCCATTTTATAGTTCGCTTTTAATATATCACAAAATGAAATTGCAAACTTTTTAGCTTCTCCATATGAATTGAATACAAATTCAGAATATCATGTAATTGATTTCCAATATATTATATAAATTATTAATTATCTTTGATGAACATTTTTTTTTTTAAAACGAATGCTAATTAAATTAAATATGATAAAATAACGAAAAATAAATAGGAAGACAAATAAACATTTATCAGTTATATTTCGATATAACAGTTATCAGATATATTTCAATATAATAGTTATCAGATAGATTTCGATCAGATATATTTCATGTGCATTAATTTACGCAAAATTTATGTATATTTTGCAAAATGTACAAAATGCTCGATTATAATGGAATTGAAAATTTAATATTAATTAATTGAAAATAATCATATAATCAATTGCAGCTATCAATTAATCATTTCTATCACTTTAATTAATGCTTTTTATTGAATTCTTTCATAACTATTTCAATGATCTTATGAGTTTATGCAAATTTTGTAGATATAATAATAATGCAATAATGAAATTTTAAAAAATTAAAATAAAAATATTTATGATTGTTTTCTTCTTATTCATTATTATTGCGATCAAATATTATTGTTGGTGATAATATCATTTTAATAATTAATATTTAATTTGATATTAATTACGGTATAATTTTAAATTATAAATAATATTGTAATCATCGTTAAATGCAATATGTTAATGCTTTATTGATTACTATATATAAATGAATATTTTAAGAGTTGGAAGTAATAAAATTGCTGATCGATCAATGAATTGACTAATCAATCGATTGAAATCAGACAATAAATTTTGATGTATTTTTAAAATTTTTTGTTTACTATATTTTCATTCTTTATTGCTATTGCTATTTGTTATTGTTATTGTTAATTGTTTTTGATTGCTTACTATTAATTTCTATAGATTACTTATCCTAATTACTTATTGTTTTAGTATTCAATCAAAAATGCAACGAATTGGTTGGTTTGATGCATTTCGAGAAAATGGTGATCCAACTTGGTTTGGTGAAAATAGAACACCTGTATTATTCGATTTGCAAATTTTTGCACTCTCATCAATATTTATTACATCATTTCTAGCATTTCTAATTATTCTTCCCGGTGTACGACATTATCGAATTGCATCAACGATTGCATTCGTTCTTAGTGTTACTGTTGGTGCAATTATCATAAGTATGTTTTAAATATTTTAATTGATTTTTTAATTATAGAAATTTTTTTCAGTGATAATTATTTTACTACAACTATGAAAAATAATAATCCGCCTTAATTATAAGAAAATGAATTAATATTATAATTATTTTAAGTAATATGAAGTTTAATAATTAAACTAAATTAATTAATAATAAATAATCCTACAATGTAGTAATTGTTATGATAATGTAATTTTTTAATCAAATTATTAAAAATTATAATTTTTCACTTTTTTCTTCTTACTTTATATAATGATAAATTTGCAACGGATATACTATCCCTATCACAAGTCAATTGAAATAAATTATTCAATAAATCTTTACATTTATATTTTTAAACTTAAATTAATAGTTATAAAACAAGTGTAAATATAATAGGATATGGTAAAAGTCGCCACCGTACTTATAATTTATCCATTTCATTCCAAAAATATATTTATCAAACTGTAAGGTACTGTAGAAGAAACTGTATGAAATTATCAATTTTAGGCTAATGAAATTGCTAAAAAAAATTCAATTTAAAAACTAAAAAAAAGGAAATTTTTTTTCAGGAAAGAAATTTATCGAAATAATTTATTTGTTTCATTCCTAAAATTTATTTTTCAACTGTTAATTATAATTAGGCTAATAAAATTTGGCTAATAATTAAGCTAACAAAAATTAGGCTAATAAAATTAGGCTAATTAAATTAATAAAATATTTAATTTAATAATTTAAAAAAAAAGAAAACATTCTTTTGCATAATTTATTTCCTTTTTGCAAGAAATACATTTATGTTTTGCAACATTTTGATGAAATTGAAATGAAATATGAAAAATATTTCAGTAAAATTTTCAAACTATTTCGATGATTCAAATGAGATTTACAAATGTGATAAACATTTTAAACTCCTATTTGCATTCATTCATTCATTCAACAATATTGAAATCTTGTTTTAAATCGAAAATTCACTCATCTTTTTATTGTTCCGAAAAATTATGATACGATGAAGAGAGGGAAAAGATAGTGAGAGAAAATTATTTCAATCAATTTTATATTAATTGAAATCATTTCATATCGTTAAAAACATATGAAAATTAAAATTCAATTTTTTATAGTAAGCTAAAAGGTTGGATAATTTAGAGTTGCACAATTAAAATTTAATCAAAATAATCGAAATTAAAACTTTAGTTTTAATTTTAACAGTGATTTTATGCTATTTCTTTTCTTTAATTTTTTCGAAATTTCATTTTATTTTTTGTAGGAACAATTAATTAATTAATTAATTCAAATGGAAATGAATTCTTTCAAAATTTAAATGGAAATATTTAATTAATAATTTAAAAGGAAATGAATTCTTTTAAATTTAAATGGAAATGTTTAATTAATTAATTTAAATGGAAATGAATTCTTTCAAAATTTAAATGGAAATATTTAATTAATTAATTAAAATTAATGGAAATAAACTTTTCCAAACGATTGTTATAATTAAAAATTGTATTTTATCCTTAATGGATAATTATTTTGATTTCTTTCTTAAGTTTAAATTTTTATTTAATTTTTGTGATAAGTTTTAAAAGAGGAATGGAAAATTTTTCATATAAATTGAAATAATATTTCGTCTAACATTTCGCTAATTTTAAGCATATGAACTAAAAATAAATAGACTATAAAATTAATACCATTTGTTTTAAATTTCGATTCGTATAAATAATCATATTTTTTTAATAAAAAAATGGAAGTGAATAAAATGAATAGGTAATAGTAAATTTAAAAAAATTTATAAATTCAATTAATTAATGACAAACCTTAAAATTTCATTTTAATACTTTTAATTTAAATCAAGTTTGTATTATTAATTACTTCATAGTATCATGAAATAACACAACGAAAAATGCTACTAAAAAGCTCCGATCGCAAAAAAGTAAACAATTTGATCGGAAATTTAAAAATTTAATCAATATTTTGGCATTTGATTATAGTAGTAATATTCCACATTTTACAGTTTAAACTCATAGAAAAATTTTTCCTTCTCCTACTAATATTAATAATTAATGTGTTATTGGCAGTTAAAACAATTGTTGTAAATTGCAAATATTGAAATGTCATTTAGGAAATTTATTAAAATTATATTTTTCCACTTTTTCTTTTACTTTTCACTTCGATATTTAATTAGATTACAGTTATTCAGAATTGTAAATATTTAATACATTTTAAATATAATTACTATTACAGTAAGTACAAAACATTTTTTGAAATTTTTACCGTATATATGATATGATTTCGAAGTATTAAGTATTAAGTACAAATATTAAGTACTCAAAATACATTATTTCCAATTCTGAATAACTGTAGTTTTGGAAATCTTTAGCCATATATATATATATATATAATGATTTCGAGATATTAAATATTAAGTACATATATTAAGTACTTAAAAAAAATTAAATATTTCCAATTCTGAATAACTGTAATTTTGGAAATCTTTAGCCACATATATATATATAATGATTTCGAGATATTAAATATTAAGTACAAATATTAAGTACTTAAAATACATTATTTCTAATTCTGAATAACTGTAGTTTTGGAAACTTCTAATCATATATATATATAATGATTTCGAAGTATTAAGCACCACGTACAAATATTAAGTACTCCAAGTACCGTTAAATATTTCCAACTCTGAATAACTGTAATTAATATAATTTTGGTATATTTTTATTGATTACTATTTCAAGTATTTTGAGCAATAACATATTGTTTATTTGCAAATGCTAAATTATTTACTTCTTTGTTGAAGTTGTTTATATTTACTATTTTTATCATAATTTTGATATTACATAATCTTTGATCAGATAATAATCTATAATCGAAGAATAAATCAATCGTTTATTTCTTCTATTAAGAATTTATTCTTCCAATTCTTATTTGTATTATCGATAAGTTGTTGAAAAAGAAACAAAATGATAAATAGCTTTAATTTGATTTTAACAAAAACCGGTTAATAATTTCATTTCATTCTTCTAATTCTCATTTCTAACAAGATGAATTGTAATGAAGTGATGGAAAAATAATATCGTTTAGCTTTTCCTGAATCGTTTTTCCGGTTTTTAAATCTAAGAATTTGATATATGATTAAATTACGATTGAGAGATATATTAAAATTTGGCTGTTTAAAATTAATTTTACAACAAAACAGCAACCTAAATTAGTGACGTCGAATTTAATTAGCCTGAATTAATAAGGTTGAATTCAACTTTTTCTACATTTAAATATTTCAGTTTGATTAATTTTAAAATTCGATCAAATTTTTTAGTAAGTATTCATCATCCAAGTTGGCATCAAGGAAGCATTCGAATTTATTCAGCTTATCGAGCATTTACAAGTGATAAGTTGGATGCTATTCTTGGCGTACGTATGGGTCTCAAACATCTTAATGTTACACTTACAAGTAACAGTTTAGAATTTTTGCAAATAATTTCGATCATTTTCCTTTTCCTAAAAACTAAGAAAGGATTGTTGAAAATATTGTATGCCTAATTTTACCTTTAAGGCTTCCATAAATGAAAAAATTTTTTCTTTAATTAATAGTTTCTTATTAATTACTAGTTTTTTTAATTTTACTGAAAAAAATTTTTTGTAATATTTTGGCCATTCATTGTTTTCATCTTTGATTGAGTAAAAAAAAAAACATTTTTCGACAATCTGTAATGAAACGAACAATTAATTAATTTACTAAAATCGCACTATTTAGACGCTCTAAATATTGAGGGAATAGTGAAAATTTTTGAAATCAATTATTTAATTAATTAATTGCTTCATTATATTTTTCTATTTCAGGTGTGCCAACATCTGGAACAGAACAATATTCATTGAATGATTTGAAATACAATGAACGTTTTGAATTTTTAAATGGTTTGTAATTTAGATAATCAAAACTAAAATTTGTTTATTAAAATCAAGTTTATCAGAATCAACAAAATTAATCTGTTTGAATTTAAAATCCCTTTGTTATTAGCAGCATTATTGCAATAGAAATAGTCTTATAATTAATTTCCTAAAATACATTTAAGACTAAACTATTTAATCATTGAAAAGATAGTTTAATTATAAATACGAATAGGAATGTTTATTTTTTGAATTTTATTTGAATGAAAAAAATTTCTGTTCGATTTATAACAGAAAAAGCTAAGGCTCATTTATTTCTGTAATTTCATAATAAGTTCCTTTTTTCTTGAACTTTATTTACGAACTAAATATTATAATTATAAATATTATAATTAAAATTCAAATTTCAATTCAATTTTTCGAATTATACAATTTTATAAATTAATATATTCGTATAATTAGGAAATGTATCACAAAGTTCGTTTAATTAAGTTTCAACGTAATTTTTTGCAAATTAACAATTTTGTTTAATGTTTAACAAAATTTTTTTCTGTGACATATTAATTAATTAATTAAATATATTTATTAATTAATTTTATAAATATAATGATGGAAAAAAAATTTTGCAGTATTTTCGATGGAAATGGAATTGGAGAAAAGTTTAAAAAAAGGTTTACCATATCCGATATTGAAAATAATCGAATATTTAAGCGTAGATCGAGCAGGATTTATATGGGGTAGGCAATATCGTCTCACCGGCCATTATACCATATGTTTGCTATGGTAGAATTATTATTCATCAATTTTTATTTTTTTTTATTCATTAAGAAATTTTAAATAATGATTTTGAAGAAAGAGAGAGAGAGGGAGAGAGAGAGAGAGAGGAAGAGAGAGAGAATTTTGATTTAAATTATTTTCTTTTACAACAAATAGAGTTTATTGATTTAAATGCTACTCAATGATAATTTACGATTTCGCGATAATTTTTTGTTTATCATAAATTTTTTGCTAAATAAAATCAATAGCTGATATATATATTTGAGATTTATTATTTTAGATTATGGTACTTCATTTAGAATATTATGTATTTTAAATTATGGTACTTCATTTAGAATATTATGTATTTTAAATTATGGTACTTCATTTAGAATTTTAGTATTTATATTGATTTACGTGAAATTTTTTTCCTTTTATTTTTATAAATTTTATAACAACAAATTAGACGTTTATCAAATAAATGAAAATAATGTTGTTAGTTTAAATTGCTTAATTTAATAGCGATTAATAATTTTAAATGATAATAGTTTAAATTAGATGGATAAAGAAGAAAATTAACGATAAATTCTCTTCCTTCAAAATTTTCACTTCTTTATTTCTGCATAATTTGTTAGCGCAAAAATCAAAAGAAAACGAAAAATAAATTTATGTCAAATTTTCAGGACGGCATTTGCTTTTTGGATTATTCAAATTTTAATGTTATGTTTGGTACCACATAATTTTGCCAAAATAGTTGTCATTGTTGGTATATTAGTTCTATTAGCTGATTTTGTTTATTTCATTCTTGTACCGAAAAATCTTCAAATAAGATTTCCATCAACAAATGGATCAATGTCAATTCTTGATTTTCACCTTTCTACCTGCTTTTATACAACATTAACTGCCGGTTAGTAGTATCTATGCTTCCTTCTAAATTAATGTTTTAATATATTTTAGTAAAAGAATTTTTTAATTTTAAAAAATTTGAAAGAAAATAATAGAAATTTTAAAATAATTAATTTGCCAAGAAAAATAAATGAAGTTTTTGGTTAGTGATAATTAATATTTAAAAATTTTTGTACTAATTAACTTAAATTTACTGATATATCAGTTTCTTAAAATTGCTTAAAATTACCCTGATGAAATTTAGAATGATAAAAGGTGCATTATTGATTAATATTAACAAATTACAGGTATCACAAGTTTAATCTACGGTGGAATATTGTTAATTTTACAAGCAAAATCATTGTATACATTAAAAACTTTTATCACTTGTCATGCTGATAAGCATTGTTGTAAAATGATGAAATGTGAAAATAATACAATGCTATCACTTACGCCACCAGATTCAACATCAACAATTCCAAATGAAGCAGCAACAATTAGTTTAATTCGACAAAATGTATTTACCGAAATGTTTTCATCGCTACCGGAAAGATTTTAGAAAAACGGAAAAATGAATTAATCTGTTATCACTTCTAAAAAAATATCTCTTATGAACAAAACAAAAGAAAATGAAAGAAACGGGATTTAATTACATTACCGGGTTTCGCTCCTAATTTCATCCAAATGTTCTCAATGAAATATTTTTTCATCATATGATCTGTATGATATGTATGTATCATGTAATTAGATAGCATATATATATATATATTTTCTCTTGCTTTATCATTTTCTTCAATTTATCAATATTAATTAAATTGAATTGAATGAGATATGTTGACATAGTGAAATGTTAAAGTTATCAATTGATAAAATTTTTGTGAACGAATTTTAGTAAATTTAAAAATTTTAATTTTTTATCTTAAATTTCATAAATTTGAAATGAGTAGATAATGTGCCATTTTTGAGCACAATTGTAAATTTAAATACTTTTTCAATGAAATGATACGATAATCTATTATCGGAATTCATTGAATTGAATGAGATATGTTGCTTTATTCAATGAAATGATATGATAATCTATTATCGGAATTCATTGAATTGAATGAGATATGTTGCTTTATTCAATGAAATGATATGATAATCTATTATCGGAATTCACTGAATTGAAGAAGGTATGTTGCCTTATTCAATGAAATGATATGATAATCTATTATCGGAATTCACTGAATTGAAGAAAATATGCTGCCTTATTCAATGAAATGATACGGTAGTATATAATCGGAATTCATTGAATTGAATTAGATATGTTGCCTTACTCAATGAAATGATACGATAACCTATTATCGGAACTCATTGAATTGAATTGAATTGAATTGAATATGTTGACAAAATGAAATGTTGAAGCTATAAATTGATAAAATTTTTGTCAGAAAATTTTAGTAAATTTAAAAATTTTAATTTTTAATTTTAAATTTCATCATAAATTTGAAATGATTATGAAATGTGCTATTTTTGAGCACATTTATAAATTTTAATCTTATTCAATGAAATGATATGATAATCCATTTTTGTTTTTCTTCACTTAAATTGAGTAAGATCAGGTAAATTGTATCCTCTATTTTAATATTTTGTAAATGCATTTATGAATCGATAATTTGAACAGGTAATTTTGTTTTTTTTTTTCATTTTTGATTAATGATTATATTATTCATTTGTTTTATACAGGTATGCATCGGAATTGTTCAGTTCATTGTTATTGATAATATTAATATTGGTATACATTAAGGTAATGATGATAAATGAAGATATCACATAACATCATTCTCTTCATCTTTTATGATCACTTTTGATTATCAATTATTTCGTTTTTTTTTCCTTTGCTTATCAGTTTATCAGTTTATTCGGAAAATATATTACTATCATGTAATATATAATGTGCCACCATTTTTTCTTGTGCCATTTTCAATACTTTTGTTTTTCTTCTTTTTAATTTCATCGATTTAATAAACAAGTAATCTTGTATTTCAATTTGTATTACATTATATATTATCAATTATTTCTATTCCATGGGAAAATTGCTACAGTAAGAAAGATTGCAACTATTTAAATTCCAATTTTAATTCCAATTCCAATTTAATCACTTATATTTTAGCATTATTCATTAGTGGAAAATTTCACTGTGTATGTTTTATAACGAATTAAGTGGTTGTTAATATTATTTTGGTTATCGAGTAGTAATCGAATAAACAGAACCGAAAGAAGTAAATAAGTAAAGTTATTCGAATTTCTAATTATGAATAGAGAACTATATGAATCATTTAATTGTAAATTATAAGGTGAAAGTTCACATCATAAAGGATAAAAGGAAGTCAAACAAAAGGAAAGAAAATAGAAACAATTTATATTAATTATTTTTGTTTGAGTAATTATGCAATATCTATTTTTAATCTATTTTATTTTATAAAATATTTTAAGCGAAACATTTAAAAAGAACGAATCTCGTTTAATTAATTAAGTTTAACGTTTGTTTTTCTTTCATAAAAATTTGCAGCGTTTTCTATTTTATTGGCTCTACCAGTGATAGTATTGTTTATGCTTGAAGCTTTATCAATTTATCATTGCTGGAAACAGCTACCTGCTATTGCTTTCATTATTATTACTATTAATGTTAGCTTAACTATCGTTAACATTAAGATTAAAAAGCAATTTTTATCACTTTATCATTTATCATGTAAATGTATATAAATCACTTCAAAAATAACGTCTGAAATTTATTCTTTCAAAATTAATAAAAATGAAATTCCTAATAAATATTACTATAATTAAATAAGATTGATATAATGCTTATCATTCGTTAATCGTTATTTATTCAGATTGTTTCAATTATTTGCTGCAAGTCTAAGCCAGAACCAGGTTTTGACTTTCATAATAAGAAGATGCGAAAAGTTGGTAAATCAGCGGATACTGTTGCAGTATCAGCAATGAAGAAGAAATGAAACAAAACATGAGAAATTTTTTTCCTTTTTGAAATTAATTAAATTATCAATAAAAATTCATTAAAGGTTAGTAAGAATTTATGCAACAGTAATGATAATACTGCGAATTATCAAGCAGATGAAAGTTTAAAAACTCAAAGCAAACTGATGATATTCAGGATGAGAAATTATCGGAATAAATACATTTGTAATAAATTTCACTTCTAAGATCGTAAGATCTTGATATTTCATTCAATATTTTAGCTGAAAATTCAAGTTAGAATATTTTGTCAAAAAAACTAAATGATATTCACGCAGTACATCTATTTGCCTTATTTCGAAACCGGTTATAAAAAGATCTGACGGTTTTGATTTCAGGAAATTCAGGAACAGTTCTGAAAATAATAGAAATTACTTCTATAGGATAAAAACTTTTACATTTGCATTATATGACAACTATCATACCTTTGCAAAAATAAATATTACAAACTTGTTTGCTATTTCAGCTACAATGTTTCAATTATTTCAGTTATTTCTACTATTCCGACTATTTCAGTTGCAATGGAATAAAAAATTTTTAAATTTCAATCTGCTAACAAAGAGTTATTGAAATATTACCAAAAAACCTCCAAACCAATTATTCCTCATTAAACTTAACCTCTCAACTCCAGTGGTTTTAATTTAATCTACTTAAATAATAAGAAGCTACACGAACTGTGAGGTAACTTAATTGACCACCCATAATATCCCCAAAAACTGGTAGCAATTGCGATAATCTGCGATGTCCAAGGCGCAAGTACTTGAAAACTTTTTTTCCTTTCGATCTACCGTGATTTTAAATATCCCATAATATTGCATATCATATTCATCGGCAAAAAAACATTCTCCCAATATTTATCAAAAGTTGCCACAATAAATAACGAATAAGCTGAACACAATGTTAAACTTCACCATTATTTAACTTCGAAGAAAGAAATAATAATAATAATAATTCAAGTATTAGGTATTTTTTTAAGCGTTGGATAATATTCAAATAGGGAAATCAATTCAGAGCCATTCAAAATATAGAGCAATCAATCAGTTCAGAGCTATCCAAAATGTTGGGAAATCAATTCAGAGCTATCAAAAATCTTTTAAAACTAGAAATCAGAAAAGAGATTCCTTCAAAAATATCAAATGGTTTCTTTCTTTTATTTACATTTACTTTTAGCTTCTTTTATTTACATTCTGATCTACAATCTTATGCTTCTTGAAATTGCGAATAAATTTCGCAAAAATTCATATTTGTACGACAATTCAATCCTTGTTTCTAATAACAGAACCCATTTCAAGAGATAATGCTTCCAGATTTTGCAAATAGTATGCTTCAATTAATATTATCCCCTCCTACAAAAACAAACGAAAATACTGTACAATTTGTTGCTCGTTCACGTTATCTTTAGTTAACTGTGAAGAAGAAACCTTATCGAGAAATACGTGGATCATAGCGTTATTACATTTCAATTCCGAGTTGTAGACATAATCAGCCAATTTTCCTACTTGAAAAATATGATAAACATCCTCCTCTTAAATCATATGTTTCATTATTAAAATTTTAGGAAATAAAAAGTCAGAATTATTTCTCCACTCCCATATTTACATTGTGTTAATGCTTGATGTTTCATTCAAAGTGCCGTCATTCTCAAATCACAAAAAACACTTGTTAGAAACACCGAAAGCAATAAATTTGGAAAACAGAATTTCACTTTTCATATATGAGGAATGAAAAATGATTTAAAAATGAAGAGAAGCCCGACAGAGTCGAAAAATACATTTTTTTTTTAACGGAATAAAATTATGGAATATTACAAAGAAAACAGAAGATGAAAAGGTGTGAGTGAAAGTAGCAAACAACATGAAATATTGTACCAACAATGGCACACAGTAACATTGTCTGTCATGGAAATTATTTTTTACTGATATTACTGTCTTCGATAGAAGGCAGAAAATATCGCCAATGATATCCAAACATATGTGACACAACCAGGAAATCCTGAAATAAAAGGTGAGGAACTAAAACCGTAAAGCTTTATTTAAAATCAGAAATAACTTCATCGTCTCTATCATGGATTAATTTCTGCAAGTTTAATAAACATTATTTCTGAAAGCTCTTTTTATGTGAATGCATCACTTGTAATATTGGGCACAATAACTTTTCTTTTTCAAGTCAACTTTTCTTTCTCGGTAGTTCTCATTGTCTATCTCTTTAGAAACAAGGAACTTTTCTATGTCTCGAAAAGTATGTAATAATATGGCCACGAAACAAAACTTGACCAGTAATTTTTTTGTTATAATTTCGACAAAATCAAATTTCCACTTGCGACAAAGGATGGTGCTTTAATCTTCTTTTTAAATCATCAATACTTCCCAATTCAAAAACTCGTTACGATAAAAAGATGTAGCAGAATACAAACCGAACATTACAGTTGTACTTTTTCATTGGATGGTGATGTAGGATCCGTTTGACCGGTTGCACCCGACGATGATTTAGCCATGCCCGAAATTTGGTCGATGCTTGTGGATGCCGCCATTTTTGCCTAAGACTTTGATAAAAATAACTATATCAATAAATTTAAGGCTAAGTCATAGCTTTATCTGTTACCAATGCCTTACGATGAACGATATTCTACCATTTAAAGATTACAACAGATAGTATCATTAACCACTTGAAAAATGTCTCATTCCACCATTTTGATTTTGATATGCATGATATCACACAACACTTTTTATACAGATAGCAACCATTTGGATACTCAAAAAAGTAGTCGCAACTAAAAAAGCAGACCAGTAAAACTAGATTAGTTTTATAATATAAATACCTTTCATTTTTTCCATTCCTAATTAAATTTGACGTAAAATCCAAAAACAAAAGCCTTTCCCCCAAGCCAACTTTCACCGATGAATGAAAACTTTCTAAGGCTAAAGCAAAACGAAAATCAAGCACTATGAACAAAAACATAAAGTGACATAAAATCGATTCTTCTAACAAATCTTACCACTTTTCCACTTCCATTACTGTTGGAACCTTGAGATATCATATAGCAAAATACACAGGATAAACCGTGGTTTAATTTAAAGGAAATGAGGGATTAAAGTCTGACTGGTTTCTGCATTAATGTTAGGATTCAATTGGAGAGTACTTCGATTACTGTCAAAAAAATTTTAAATTCCTAATTTGAAACCAAGGAGTTATTATCAACGACGCACAGAACTCCAATAATCTATATAATGCATCGCAGGCTCAAAAACCTTTAAAAAATCAACCGATGGGCATATTTCACAAACGTATACTTTAAACAACTGATATCTACGACAAAATTTAAGAAAATTTCTTTGTGAAATTGTAATAACATGTAGTGTATTTTTGGAGTAAACAATGTCATCGAAATGTGAAGGCGAGAAGGTATACGAGAGGAATGGCTTACATTAGTGTACGCTGTTCCTATTTTAGATTCGAATGATTTGAACAGTGAAGAGTTACGCACATCGTTCCATTTGTTCTTCACAGTATCCGCCGTACCTGAGACCACTTCCGATGTCTTTTGGTACCTCAAAAAACCGCGCTACATGAGACTGTACGCAAATCTCTTAGATAAACTACATAAATTTTTCTATAAACAATTGAAAGGAAATGAAAAGTCTAAATAATTCTCGACAAAAATGACGTGCGAATAACTATTCGCCTTAAACTTACCACAATTTATCTACAGATTCCACATTACTCAGAACAAATATATACCTAAATCTACGCTGAAAAACTCAGCATTCACTCCATTCAAACAAACACCTACGCTTGCGATTCTCTGACATGCTGCAATGAATGATTGATATCAGCAGTAAATTCAGTGAGGGGTGAAATGCCCAATTTTCGTTTCAAATCACTCGCGTGCTTTTGACGTGCAACCAGCACTTGACGTAATGTATTAATTTCTTCTTCAGTCTGAATAATTTTAATACGACAAATGTTTGAAAAAATGTATTAAAAATTAAATTATTGAAATCAATTACTATAAAAACAAAAACTGGATAGACTATAAAAACTGACTCGATAGACTATAAAAAATAAAAAATCCAAATATTTTAGGCACCATATTTCTTGAAAGAAAGCATATTATATGTTAGTAATCAGTTCATATATTGTCATAATCTAAGGAACTTCAAGCAAATCTCAAAAAATTTGCATAAAATAGCTGACTGGACTGCGCAGTCGAACTATGCAATCACTGACATCTGAAACCCTAAAATGATCGTGACGAGTTTAGACATGAATCAAACTTCAGTAATACCAGTAAATTTAATTCGAAATTCAGGCACAATTCCATTGCAAAGGAGCATACCTTTTTTAATTCTTCTCTGATCAATTCCTTCTCAACTTCACTAAGTTCAATTGAAGTACCATTAATGAAATGCTCATCGCCAGCTGAAAAATTACACTCCTATACATTATAGACTATTTTGAAAAATGCATCATTAAAATGAGCGGGTTATTGAGTATTTACGTTACGTGAAATCTTTCTGTTTTTTCATGGCTTAATGATGAATATGAGAAAGGAATGTTTCGAATCACATTCAAATATTCCGAATATAACTATTTATTTCAAATTACTCAATGGCTGAGTTAATTGTGACACCGTTCTTCATTTTCATAATCAAATACTTTCAGGACATGCACTGACCGATAGCAGAATCCCAAAATCATCTAGAAAAAGGCTAATTTCATTATAGGTCGACTATTTTCAGAGACAACATTAAACAAATTAAAAATATCTTTTCTTAATCCTTCAAACGAATAAGCAAAAGAGAAAAAAATATGAATTAATTAACCAAGAAAGTAAGAAATGATTAAATAAACAACAATTACATAAATAGAGCTATTTATGGTTCGGTGTATTGACTCCAAAAAAGAGAAAACGACATTTTTTGGATAATTTACAACTCTACCTTTTCCATCCTCAGTGATTTAGCAACATCGAATTTCTAGTGGTCAATGACAAAACGATAATATAAATTCAGATTGACGTGCAACTATAAAAGACGATTAAAAATCATAAAAATAAAAGTCAAAACTTCGATAAAAGCGCTTGAAATTGGATTTTGAAAGATCTAAGACTGGATCTAAGATGAGAAGCAATAGGTAGCAAGAGATTGATGAATAGGTCTAACACTTATGAAGGTTAATTTAGACCACCGACCTTCACTAATATTGTCCTCGTCATCCGATGATCTGCTCAATTCATCGGCAAATTTATCCACAGCATCCTGCATTTGGGCATCTTTCTTTCTTCCCAAGGATGATAATTCCTGGGTAACTACTGTGTTTGCTTTGGATTTTCGAGCTGCGAATTGCTCCTGAGGAGGAGGAGGCCTTTTGGGAGGCATTTATCTGATCCAATTAGCAAATGAATATTCGGAACTGAATGTATTTGAAATATGAACAAATTGGAGGCAGGCAATAAAAATAACTCGTTTTTCTTAAGATACGATTAAAACTGGCATTAGTATGAGATCAGAGTTTCCGGTAGATAACTTGAATAAATACCCTTTCTTATTCTATCCTATTTCTATACTCCGAATTGGATAACTCATAGAAGACAGCTGCACACATGCTCACAGAAACTCCGCACTAACAAAGAAAACATTGTCAAATTTAGCCCAAAAAAGATGAACAAACAAAAAACTGGCACTCCAAATACCCACAAGTGACTGAATGAATGAAATTCCAAAAACTAGAATAGAGCATCATCAATTTTCATTCACGAAACATTCATTACGATTACGATTTTGCTATTAGATCCAAGAATAAAAATTTCAAACATTCAGTGCAGGATATGATATATTTCATCGTTGTATTCATGCGCATACCCATCAACAAATGTTATTTTCTAAAACTAAAAATCTCGAATAATCCTGTCGAGTTTGTTTTTTTTGAAAAACTTCCAGAATTTCCAAAGGAATTTATGAGAGTTATTCGACGGATAACTCTCATAAATTATAACCCCCATAAATTCCTTTGGAAATTTTGAAAATTACAAATATTAATATTAACTAAAGCATATTACAAGAGTAAAAAGAAGAAAAAACACTCTCTTTATCGCTAAATTTATTATCGAAATATTCCGCATTACGAACGTAATCGATATGCAAATCACAACATTATCCATCCGTCCACCACTTTTCAAGTTACAAAAAGGTAGAAAAAAAATCAACCATTTATAACAATGACTAATACTTGCTTGCATGAGATGATGAACGCAGCAAGTGATTGTAAATCAATAATGCAATTTTCTGAGTGGAATTCAATGCCTAATTCAGACCAAGCAATCATTCTGCCTATTTATAATTCAGCAATTTTAAAAACTAATTAAAATCTCCGAGATTCTCAAAAAAAATAACATATGCAAAAAATGAAATTATCCCATCTCCTATATTAACTTAAATTTTGCATTTTTTTTGAATCATCCAATTTTTGCTGATCAAAAAGCATTAGTATGATAATGAATCAAAATTACTGAAAAATCAATATGAATTTGTCGTATGCTTCCTCCTAAATAAAATATGCTTCATAACATTATCTAAAAATTATCACTTCATCATTTTCAGAAAATCAAATCAAATTCATGCAACAAGAGACATTCAATATCACAAAATCTAAAAACAAAATCAATCAATAATCTGAACCATCTCTTTCTCTTTCTTCATACAAATTATAATTGCATATTTTGTTTTTTTCAGTCCTAATTTATTAAAAATTGCTAGTTAAAAATAAACTAAGTCCGTTCACAAAGATAAAAAAGGCAATTAAAATTTCTCACTGATGAAAAATACAAAGAGAGAGAGAGAGAGAGAAAGAGAGGGAGAGAGGGAACAATGATTAAAATGGATAAGAAATGCAAGCGATCTCTGTGCATGCCTGCTTCACACAACTCCAATATTGTAAATATATATATTTCATATGTACATGCTCTCTTAAACTATAAACTGAAATAATTCATGACCATACTACAATCACATCGTCCCCTTCATCTTTTTCCTTCCCTCAGCTTTTTTTATCTCTCGTATTTCATGCATACATATCAGTCACAAAACAAAATTAATTGCAATGCAGTCCTTCAGATGACAATTGTTAATATGAATGAAATTTATGCCTTATCATTATGAAAATAACTTCTCATTCCATATACTCCCTCATTTTTCATCTCCTCTTTCTTATCCATATCAATTTTGTTTTTTCATTCATGCAAATATCCTCATCCTAAAATGATTCCATCATCATCTAACGTATTCGACTTGAAGTGAAACTACCTAGAGATTATCCACTGTGAATATTTCATCGCAATGCGGTAATAACAACAGTTGAATAGTGTTGTGTTGGAATAGGACAAAAAATATTTTCGAGAAGGTTTAATTAAACCAAACAAGAAAACAACTGTTATCCAATTAAAATCATTAACAATGAACTAAAGACAATAATAATTCAACAACAGCTGGTAAAACTTCTCTTCTCTATGACTGAAAATGACAATCATTGTTTAATGCTTAGTGATACACTCATCGATCGTTGCTTCCCGCGAAACTTCCAGTTAATGCAAAATATTTCCTGTTCCACCAAAACTATTTCACCGGAGAGAAAGAAGTCGAAAAAGAAACATAGAGAGAAACATAGAGAGATGGTTTGCATAAAGCTTACAAAGAAAACGAGAAATTTGTAAAGCAAATTAAAAAAAATTTATGAATAGTAAAATAACTAATAAGATTAAACTTATGTAAAAAATAACTACTAATAAGATTGAACTTCTAATAATCAGTACTGAATTGTGTGTATATGTAATATATATTACCATCAACACTGAACAAGTCCTAACATTTTGGTAATAAAAATGCAACAAATAAAAAAGTTATATTATTCTTATTTAAAAATACCAAATTCAGAGAATCTATTGGTGACTTGATACCAAAAAAACGCCCATTCTGTCCCAATATTTTAGCATTTTAATTAGGTTTTATAATTTTAATTAGGATTGTTTGCATTTTCTATTCATCATTTAGTACATTTTGATATCGATCTCTGAATGTAACTAATACGATAAATGCTTGAAAAAGTGGTACTGCGAACTTCTTTTGGGAAGTAAATGCTTATCCTAATCTGCATAATTGTTGAGCTGTGCCATAGTCCCTTTCATTGAATTTTTTAACAATAATGACATAAAGCAACAAAAAGGATTATGGTAGAGTTTATTAATCGATCTAATCTCTTCACAATTATCCTAAAGTTATATAAATGCCTTTAAGTAATTAATAATTAATTTATTTATACAAATGGCAATATGTTGCCCGAAATGATAATTTCTATGCTTATAAAGCTGCAACTCATTTCATAGACACTAATTAAGGACAACGTAACTCCAAGAATTCAAGAAATAGCAAAGCAGTTCCCTGGGTTTCCCCATTTATTAATAGTGATTTCGTCATTCTACCTTTTTTTACCTGTCCTTATATGCAAAACATGAAATATTCCATTAATTTAGAGCATGTTTCGTGGGATACTGAAGGATAAAATGAGACCGAGAACACTTTAAACTACGTCATTAAGACAAAATGTATGAGAAATAATTTCAAATCGATCAGTAAAATGATTCATTCAATAATTGAGTTGTGAAGAAATTTCGAAGCTAAAATAAGACTGAACATAATCAATACCTTCTAATCCAGCTGTTGCCATTTGTTTTGTATCTCGCAGCCGTGAGTTAATCAAGTCAAACACTTCTAAATATTAATCTGAAACAAATGAAATTTCAAAAATATTTAATTGAAAACATTATTTCATCAAAGTAGGAATAGAATGTGTCTCAAACATATGCCTTTCCGGAGAAAAATTGAGTGAAAATATGCAATTATACGATATTTCACAAGACGCACATATGCACAGCTGCATTAGTCATTCATGCGATGAAATTTCCAAAGGCCATAATTTAAGCTTGCTAGCTGATCTATGGAAGCAGTAATGAGCTGTGACAACAATAACGCTGTCATTATATTCATCAAAAAATATTTCACTTAATACACATGCAAACGTGTGAATAGCGCGGGAGAATCTACTTCTTAGTTTTGATACGTGTGGAAAATCACGTAAACATATGCAAAGTTCACGTAAAATGACGCGAAGAAAGATTCATTCTTACTAAGTTAAAACAATATGACGCATATTTTGGCCAAGTTGGCCGCGATCTTGCAAATGGAAAGGAGTGAAAGTGACAAACACGAGTGAAATGTACAAGTATGAGGGAGGAAAGGGAGTTAGAGAGGGGAAGAGAAAAGGTTAAGGGAAGGGGTAGAGAAAAACGGCTAAACCACAGTCGTTCCCCCTTCTTCCGAAGTGATATTACGGCCTGCGGCCCGTCCCATCCGTCTAATGAGAAAAGACAAATAAATTAGGGTGAAATGCACTGGTAGTGGGGAAATGCGGATGACTTGTGCAGACAGTCTGAATGTGCATGTTATGTGAACTTGTTAAAGTGAGCTGTAATTTTTCGAATCCGGGAAACCAACCGGAAATCAAAGATGGGTAAGCAAAAAGGCTCTTACGAGACTTTCTTGGATGGGAGTATGGAGTAATCTAACAAAAATAGCAGAATTGTCCTTTCAGTTTTCTCAAAAACTTTATTATGTTATGTAAAAGCATTAAGAGTTTTTGCTGGGATCTGCCGGGAAAATCCAAAAAAAGAAATATCTTGCCAAACTATTTAATACATCCTCCTTAACTTATATACCATGCAACGTAATGGGTTCTTGTGTCGCGGATTTGTGCTAGAATCGGAGCACTTCGAGATATTATAACTTTATGTCTCTGCTTGGAGTTATTGAGGAATAAAGAACCAAATTGGATATTTGCGGAATGCATCGGTTAAATGGTTTGGTTATTCGAATTTTATTGAAATTAGAAATGATCTATGTATTTTCTAACTAGATTGCAGAAAATGTCATATGGTAAGAATGTAAAAGGTGGTAGGATCTCATTTCATCTCATTGAATTCGAACTTTTATTCTTAATAGATTTTTTGATGATGTGATGTATGTAATACATAATGTAAAATTGCACGACCTAATATATCAGTAGGTTTGGTAGACTTCGTTATTTGTAAATTTAACATAAGGGAACAAATGCATATTTGTCGATACATTCCTGACCATTTAGGCGCGAAACTGTTAACATATCATACGTGATCGTTCATAGTGATTGGAAAATGTCGGTTTGCTCGATCAGGAAGGAAAAGATACCCCCTGACCTTTAGATCTTTCCATATGTTCGTCACTATGCAGTCACCAAACCGTATCTAGATTGGTGCAGATTGAATGAGTTATTAATTAATTTAATGTTTCTTATTTTAGTAATAGTATCTTTGGAATATCTATCAGATTGTTATTGATCAGAAAATTGTGAGAGAACTAACACCGCTACATGAAGACTAAAGAGATGGTTGTTACAAAAGTATTAGTAGAATAATATGTCACGTAAACCAAGGAGAATTAATCTACAATGCCGTACCTGAAATAAAGTTATAGATATGTTCTGTTGTTTCTTAAATTTTATTCAAATTTTTAGCGGGGATTTAATTCCGACGTCGCTTTCTGTATGAAATTTTTCGATGACATTAAATGGTTCTAAAGAAAGCCCTATGGTATCGTTCGGTGATGAATTTGGATTTTGCTGAGGTTATTGCTTTGTAATTTTTTTCCAGGATTTCGTGGAGACTTCTGTAATTGTTCCAGATTAACACTTTTTGCGCTTACGTGAAGGCGCGCTGTTTATATGTCATCGTCTTCGGTTCCGGTTAACTCTTTTATTCCGGGAGCGGAAACACAACACTCATCGGCAGATAGTAAGTTTCTTCCATCGTCTTGTTTGAAGCTCAACCATGAAGGCTTAAGTGCAACAAATACCTGCGAATAAATGAAATTTTGTATAATTTGTGAAACTGAAGTGCTGAAAACTTAGCGAGCCGTACTATCTGTGGAATACTTCGGAACTTTGCTTCTGAATTTTCACCTGCTGTGATTCTAGATACTCTTAATCTCATTTGTCTTAAATTTTCCAAATTCATCGGTAGACTTCCTTAGCATTCATGACAGTTTTGAAATTAGTATTTTCCGTCACTTGAGTGAATAAGTCTATTCTTTAAGCGGGTAATGGTTGACAATCCTGTATAAAACGATCATTATTAGTTATGCTATTATAATAAGACGCTTAGCACCGGATGTCACTCATAATGGTTCGTGATACTTCAGGAACTAGGAAAGTATTTAATATCTTCGCTTCTTATTAAAAAAAAATAACTTCGAAGTCTTCAGGAAAGGAGGCGATACGGAAAACTTCGTCTTCACTACTTACCGAACCCAAAAATTTAGACGAATTCAAGGTTTACCTGTTTCTTTCTTTTGTTTTTTAATTCTTATTAATATATGGGGTTTTAATTTTGTTAGAATACCTTGTTGCGGAGGAAAAAGAGACGAGATAGCTTCGGGTTTTATAGCTTTTTTAGTAAAAAGGTTGACATCACTGAAATAACTGGGCTTTATTTAGTTAAGGCAATATTTCGGTAAAATAAATAGCTAGAAATGTCACTTAGTTTTAGAAGTAATATAATTAGATATATTCTATTATTTTTTCTGGGCTCTTTTGAGATGGTATGTAATACCTACTGGTTACATACCATCTCAAAAGAGCTGGTATTACATATTGGTATCATTAACGAGATATTGTTTTGGGCTTCAAGTTTTCTTTAAGATTTCCCAGCGTTGCAAAAAATCTTTTTGTATTGGGAACGAATAATTAATAAGGAATGGGAGATTATTTCTGAAAACAATACAACTATTGAAGTTAAGATGTGGTAACATTGACTAGTTTGGAATAAAATTTTATTATTTATAGCCACCAGAAACAAAGCGTTATCGTAGCAGTTTATCATCGACAAGGGCGGGTTTAAAGACCGAGCCGTCAAAAGGAATAACAACATCGATAGGAACTATGGATGAAGCGTCAACACAGGAAAGTAGCGACGGCGATACTGCAAGTAGTTTGAATCCTCCACAACCATCCAATTTTTCAACCTCGAACCATCGTTCGGGAAAGAATACCGTACGATTCACATCACCAGCCGCGTTTCTCGCTGGTCCGTCAACAGCCCGAGAGAAGAGTGGACAACATCGCATTGGCGCGCCTCACAAAAATGGTCGTTCAGTTGTAGGTGACATCACACAAGCAACCATTACTAAGAAATTAGTCATACATGGCTTCAAACGTTAGTTTATGAATTTTCGTACAATGCAGAATTAGGTGCTTACGAATAACTAATCATTTTTGCTTGGAAAATAATGATGTGATAGTACAATCATACTTTTGTTAAAATCAGCAGTTGTAATTACGCTGTTTGTCTTTTCTTGCAGCATAGTCAACACTTGTATTGCCCATAAGTGATCAGCAAAAAATACAGATATCACTTATGTCTTCCTGTTCTTTGAAGGCTTTCTCTTTAAACTAGCCTTTTTTTGCATTCAGAACGTCTATTATGCAAGGAAAGCGATCCATTTGAAGCAAAATGGCAGCCACTGGAGGAAGCTGTCGTTTCAATACAGAAAAAAAAGAAAGCAGAAACATCTTTGGAACAGTTGTATGAGGTAATCGTCGATTTATCAACTTGTTTTCCTTTATTTTGGGTGTTTCTTAAAATTTTTATGCACGAGTAATGCAGCGATACGTTAGCGATATCGATTTATGAGTATTAAAAGTCGGTAATGATTAAGTGCCAATTTTCTTTTCACAATAGTTCTTCTTTGCACGCTTGTAGTTGCATTTGAAATTAAAGAGGAAGAAGGCATTATCTTGATGGACTGTTTAGTATTCAAGAATGTCGCATATTTTAATGGATTCCAAATTTTCTGCAAATTTTCAGATTGTCGAATTTTTATGCACGAACAATGCAGCAGTGAAGATATATAAGAAGCTGAAAGCGTGCATTTTATCATACATTATAGAGCAGCTCCAAATTTTGCTGGATGTTTCTGATTCCACATATTTGTTCCTCCAAAATTTTAATATTCTTTGGCTTGAATATTGTGAGCAATTGGTGAGTTATTCGATTGTTTACAATTTGAAATAATTTGCAAAACTGATCTGCCAGTTGTTCATGATATACTTCCAAGAATTTTTCTAGTTCGGTATGATTGTTCATTGGATCTTATGTATTACATGACTGTGTTCTTTGTTGCTGGTGTGTCGTGTAGCTTTAAATTTTGAAGTGAACATAGGAGTTAATGAGGCATTTTCCGATGTCAGCTCTTTCCAAACAATTAAATTATAATAATTTACTTATTTCAGATTAATATCCGCAGCGTTTTTCTCTATCTAGATCGCACCTTTGTTTTGCATAATCCCACAGTTGTTTCATTATGGTAAGTTCATATATATTTTCAGTATAAAAGGATTGTCTGATAGGTTGTATCTATATATCGGATGATCTATATTAGGAGTGCTCAAATTTTGGTGTGACTGCTCTAAAAATTTTCTAGCTTATTTCATAGTCTTCACTATCTGAATCATTTTCATTAAAGAGGCTAATGTTGCGAGCGTCAAAAAGCTCGGTTTATTGCACACATGAATTAGAGTATTATAAGTTACCGAACGAGATAGGACACATTTTTCTTGATTTGCTGAATCTATACAACAAATGTTTTCTCATATCATACAATGCGGAAGTTAGAATTTATGATAGCTCTGAAATTCTCAGAATTACTTATGTACAGAATTGTTATATAATCCATCATTATTATTACTTGTGTTTTTAGGGATATGGGATTGGAAATTTTCCGTGACGAGGTTATGGATAATGAAAGTGTAAGGAAGCGTTCAGTTGACGGACTTTTGAAAATGATTGAACAAGAAAGAGAGGGGGAACAGGTGAGTTTGTATCATTTATATAGCTGGTTGATGTATAGAAAATGAAATACTTGTAATATTCTCTGTGATATTTCATTTCAAAAGTGAAGTGAGAAAGCTTTTACATTTAAAAGATTAGATTGGTTTGAATTGAGCTGTGTAACGGTTAGGGAATTCATAATTAGTCGTTGTGATAATGCTTCCCACATTTAGCTTCCAGTCCATGTTTTGCCTACAATTCATTAATTAAATAGTGAATAGCGGTGTGTGCACATCGCCAATTGATCAATTTTTGTATATTTTTTGTTTCCTCTAGTGTTCTTTTCGTTGACGTTTGTATTCGAAAGTAGCATCTTGAAATGTGAGAATGTTGGTAAAGTAAGGTATGAGTTTTTTTACGATGAGCAAGCAAATCTATATTTGTGAATATTCTATAACACCATATTTTGTGTCAACTTGCCAAACTTTTATACTAATATGATCTCTTAAATGCTGATGACAATCTCCTTTATAGATTGATCGATTATTAATCAAATCATTACTGCGTATGATGACAAGTCTTCGTGTCTATACAGAGGTAAGCTTTCAGTCTTGTCTGGACAAATAAAATTATAGGCAGTCTAATGAGCATACAGGATGAAAATAGTTTTATGATAGGCTTCTATTTTTGATTGACTTATACGCCATCGACGTCGATTTACGATTGGAAGAAGGGTTTTGCTTTGATTTGATGTTTCAAAAAAAAAACCCCAATAACAACCCTTCCATTCCTTTGTAAAATTGAAATATGCGAAATTTTCGGGCGTTCAATATAATTTTCATGTTCCTTTGCCCTTTTTGCCATTTTCCAAAGTGAGTTCTTCTCCATTATGTTTTATTGTTGGTGAATTTTTGTTGTTTAATTTCTTTAAACTATGCAGTTGCATTATTTTTGAGCCCAAATAAGTTTCAATTTCGTTCATTAAACTTTTCTAAGTAACTGGGTAGTTTTTAAGGGAAGGTGTTTTAGAACTTCTGAAAATAAATGAAATCTCAATCGCCAAAATTGATTATTCTTTTTTATATTCTACCTTTTATTTATATTTTATTTCATTATATAGCATGTATGAGTGTAGTACATGTAAAAGTACATAATTTTTCTCATATTTTAGGTATTTGAACGCAAGTTTCTTGAAACTACATGTACCTTGTATGAAGCGGAAGGACGTCATCTTTCTCAGAGTCTTGAGGTACAAAACTCTATTCTTTCTCCTTTTGTTATACTAGTAATAGAAGAGTGTAAATTTTTATGCTGTTTTTCTATTGATTTTAGAGAGTAGTGATTTAGGTGCCGGCATATCTGCGACATGTAAAGAAGCGTTTGGAAGAGGAAACAAATCGCGTTGATTATTATTTGGATTTCACAACAAGAAAACCACTGTTGGCAGTTACTGAAAGATGCTTAATTTCTGATCACATGGATTCATTTATAAATAAAGGTGATTTTGCCGTTACATCTGGTTTAGTTTTAGAATTTGCATTTTTGATAAGGACTCGATCTCCAAGTTATTCCAGTTGTTCATTTTAGCCATCCATTCGATTCATTTCGAATGATTTCAGCTATTAACTTGTCTCGTTTCTATTTAATTCAATCATTATCATTGTGTATTTAATCACTTTATTGCTTCATTTCTGTTTGCGACTAGAAGTTGGAGAAAGTGGGAAAGCAGCAGTTGTGTTTCTTTTTGGCTTTAGCAGTTCGTCTGTTGCTTCGAGCAGGATAACTTCTTTTTTTCAGGCCTTGATGAAATGCTTCTCGAAAACAAATGCGATGATTTAAATCTAATGTATAACATGGTGTCAAGGACAAAACATGGGCTTCTTATTTTAAAAAATGTGTTTGCTTCTTATGTCAAGGTAGGTAGTGAAGCTTTATTATTGGTTCCTGTTAGTAATTTTCATTTCACTAATATTTATTTGTGCTTCTATGACGTTAGGGCAATAAATTACAACAATAGTTGGACCTGAGGGCAAAAAATCTGTCACAATGTAAAACTTAATTAAGTAAAGAAAACAGCCATTGAAATTGACATTTTTAAATTTGAAAATAAACTTCCCATTTCCCTCACCGGGCTATGATTACTTCAGAAGTACATACTAATAGGAAGCTTTCAGGAAGAAGGATCAATAGTAAAGTAATTAGGTATCACTATTTAAAAGAGTTGAATCTTATTGTTGTATCTTAATATTTCAGAAAGTTGGTAAAGCTTTGGTGATGGATGTGAATAGAGATAAAACATTGGTGGGTGATTTGCTGACTATGAAAAGGCAGCTGGATAACATTGTAGACAGGTTTTGTTTAATCATTTTCCATTTCTGTGAAAAATTTTGTGCTTTTCCTATTGGGATATATGGTGACTCGACACTTCTATAACTTTACTAATAAGATAACTATCACCACTTCTGGTCCTTTGCTTAAATTAGATAGTTTAAAACAGTGGAGTTAGCGTGAGGTCGCATTTCAATGAAACATCGCATTGAACATTTGTGGAGCAGTAAGGATGTTGTGATTGGCGGATTGAACTGTTCATTCCAAATCCATTTGTTCTATTTCTGTCGATTTACTGATATAATAGTTAGACTTTTATCATTGACTTATCGGAAACTATTTATGCAGTGCATCATTTATTACTTCCTCATCACCGATAGCACAGTTTACCAAGTTTTGAATATTTCTTTTTTATCGTATTTGCATCTTCGTATTTCGACATCGATAAATTTTCAGTTGTTTTCAACGGAATGAAAAATTTATTCAGGCGGAAAAGGATGCATTTGATTACTTCATCAATACTCGACCAAATAAACCAGCTGAACTTGTCGGTAAGTGGAATAAATTGTGCTAATCACTTATTGTTCTTTCGGTGCAGTGCGTTTCTCGGAAGTTTTGTAATGGCATGTCAAATTTTTTCAGTAGCATCATTTTGCTTCGATCGACTTCATAAATAAAAGTTCATCAAATTATATGTAAAATGACAGTAAATGGGAATTAATTCTAGGAATCTCTCTCCCAAGTTTTTTATTCCTTTTAATGTGCAACATCTGATAGACGTAATAAGATATGCGCACTAATCTATTAATATTTCTCTTTTCTCCCCTATTTTATTTTTCTTCTTTTCCTCTCCTTTTCCTTCTCTGTCTTTTTACTGCTTTTGTATTTATCTTTCATGAGTAGATAATGACCTAACGATTCATAGATTTTTGGAAAGGATATAGTAAAGAAGATCTCATGGTTCAAGAAATCTTATGCTTCCTATTACGCAAAATTATTTGCATTTCAGCCAAATTTATGGATAGTAAATTACGATCTGGAAATAAAGGAGCTACAGAGGAAGAAATGGAAAATCTTATGGATGAAGTTATCGTGCTATTCAGGTTTATACAAGGTAAGCGTGTAGAATGGTTTTGCTAGTTTTTGGTAAGTTGTATAGAATCAATGGGTGTTTCTTTCATCTTGATTTTACATCAGGTCATTTAATAAATGCCGAATTACTTATGAAGTGGCTTATAACTGATCACGTCCTCTTTCACGCAGCATTTTATGTTTTCTGGCTCCCAGCAGTATAATTGTTTATAAGGGTATAAGGGATAAACGAATATTTATGAATATTTCATTTTTGGTTTGACAAATCAATGAATGAATTCTCGTATTAGCAATTTTGTTTAATGAACTGCCGTAGTCAAAGGTTTTCTAGGATTTACCTTTATCGATTATTACTTTCAGGGAAAGATGTTTTTGAAGCCTTTTACAAGAAGGATCTTGCAAAAAGATTATTACTTGGAAAGAGTGCATCCGTTGATGCCGAAAAATCAATGCTTTCAAAACTGAAGCAAGGTATGTTTTTAATTCTCATAACATGATTATTTTCTCAATTACTACAGTGTATTTCACAGGGATACTGCAGTTATGGCTCTGCAGTTAAAAATAATACAACACGGCGAACACTGCTTCCAAAAAGCAAATTAGAGTACCACTTTTTTTTGTGCCATTTAAACCAAGCTTTTTTTGAAAATCATTACTTTTTATTAATTCCAACGAAAATTATTTAAAATTTATGTTTAAAGAGTGTGGTGCTGCGTTTACGACACGATTAGAGGGGATGTTTAAGGATATGGAAGTTTCTAAAGATCTTGGTGTATCATTTAAACAGGTTTTCATTTAGTCATTATATTTCCTAGAGTTTAATTAATCACTTTTATATAACTCTATCAACTGATTATCCTGTTTTCTGCATTTTACTGCTTTACTGAGTAATAGATCTCGAACTGCTGTTCTTAAATTGTCTGTTATTTCAGTATATGGAACATGGTGGCCGTGATCGAATATTAAAGCATAGTACAAATCAGATCGAATTTAATGTTAATGTATTAACAATGGGTCATTGGCCAACATATGAATATATGGAAGTTGCAATACCTCCAAATTTGGCTGAATATCAGGAACATTTTCAGAATGTATGTGTTTTCGAAGCTTGAAATTCCTTGTAGTTTTTTTAAAATAATTATTTTTGCATTAACTTTTTCAGTTCTACTTCTCAAAACACAGTGGACGCAAGCTGCAATGGCAACATAGTCTGGCTCAGTTATTATTGCGGGCTCAATTTAATGTAACTATTTTTTTGCTTGTATTGAAAGTTGTCTAAATTTTATGGTGGTATTTGATCGGCTCGATAGCGGTATTTGAGTATTTATGCTTGCTTGCAGCCCTTTTTGAAAGTAATTGTGTAGGATCTACCTTTTTTGTATATCTGTGTGTGAGGATGATTTATCTTTATGTTCTCTACATTGTGAAATGGCGCGTATTCCACATAATTATGAAGTTCTTCAATTTTTGTGAATTTTTAGGTAGTGAAGGAATTGCAAGTTACAATGTTTCAAGCGCTGGTACTTCTTCTATTCAATGATAAATTAGAATGGACATATGAAGAAATTCAGTTAGCAACCAAAATTGGTAGGTTCAAATTACATTTTCAGTAAAAATAGTATTTTATATTTTAATTGCAGTTTTATTTTTTAGTATGTTATGTTATGCTCTCTAAAGGACTGGAATGAATGATTTTCTTTGTTTTATCTACAACTGTGGGTATCAAATAAACATAATATAAATTAAGCAAAACTAATACAGTCCGAATTAATAGTGACGAAGCTGGAATTGTGTCACAGTTTTTGAAGCCTCCGGGAACTTTTTTTGTTCATCAGTCTATAATGCTATGAATTTTGCAGAGAAGAGCGAACTAGAAAGAACAATGCAGTCGCTAGCTTGTGGTAAATTGAGAGTTTTGAAGAAAACACCACTTGGCAAAGATATTAAAGCTAATGATTTGTTTGCATTCAATCCAAAATGCAATGAAAAATTGTACAGAATTCGTATAAGTCAGGTTCAGATGAAAGAAACGGTTAGTTATTTCCAGAATCCTCAAAGTTTTTTTTGTGGAATGGAAAATTTGAAAATAAGCGCATCAGGATCACGAATTGATTCTAGTCGATTTACTGAATTCGTTATTAAATACTATTTATATAGCGAGTTTTTTATAAAAAATTATTTAAAATATTTAAAAAAGACTATCTTTAATAAAGTTTTTTCGACTGTTAAGTGATTTGATTGTGTTGAGTCTTTTCTTGAAAGACTATTTGCATAATATTACGGGTTCTGCATCTCGTGATATTTTAGTCTTATCATCAGATCCCTTATGCTACATTTATCGTCATTGGGTACTTGGTTTGATAGCTTTCACAGTGTTTTGCGAATAATGATTCACGGTTTTGGTTGTCAGAATCAAAAATTGATTTCTCATTTCTCAATATTTAATTGTATTATATCTTTCAGGCTGTGGAACGTGCTCAAACAGAAGAAGAAATATTTCAAGATCGACAGTATCAGATTGACGCTGCAATTGTTCGTATCATGAAAACGCGGAAATCTCTTGCACATCAATTGCTTATTTCAGAATTGTTTAATCAGCTTCGTTTTCCTGTAAAACCAGTCGATTTGAAGAAACGTATTGAAAGTCTCATTGAGCGTGAGTATATGTGCCGTGATAAGGATGACTCGAATGTGTACAATTATCTTGCATAGATTCCGGTGGTCATGCATTGGCCGAAGAGGATGCATATTATTCGTGTTTCATTCAGTAGTGTTCCAAAACTTAATGTGTTCAGTTAATGGAATATGTTTTGTATTCCACAAAAATTTTAATGTAATCTTCAAAATTTATATCTTTCCCACAAATAAAATCCTAGAATAGACTATTGTAACTTATAAATTTGATATCTCGGAGAAAACTGATAATATTGGCTCACACTATTTTGTAAGGATGGTGAATTAGGGAACTGTTTTTTCATCCGCCACATTTTTGTGGCATCTAAGACGGCTTTACTCTCTCTGTTTTAAATTATCCCTAATCTTTTGGTTACAAAAAAGAAATATAATAGTAGGAATTTATGTTACAAATTGCAAAACACGTTCAAGGCATTGTATTATTGTGATCAGGAAGCGGGTTATTGTTCATTTTGTATTTTGTACGTGAGGGATTGCACAGAGTGGTGATTATCACTGATCATCACTGAATCAAATTTGTTGATTTATGTGCTGGTTGTAAATTTGTTTTACTTGCTGTAGCTGAACATGAATTGGAACTGATATTCTTTTATGAGCTTTTTATCTTGAGTAGAATTGGCGATTTAGAAATGTTGACGCATGTATTGCTTTAAATAGGATTACATAAAAATAATGCATATTAACAAATTTACGGAAACTAGCAACTAACCAATCCTATTAAAATCTTAGTTGATGGCTAAACGGCGATAGGTAAATGATTTTTGCGTTTGTCTCCATCAAGAAAGGGAAAGTATCATGTTGTTATGTTCAATTTTGAAGCAGTAAATAAAGTGCATATCTGAATGATTAGAAAAAGAAATTGTTTGAATTATGTTATCAGGGTTTTCTGATCAAAATATAGCACGGTGATTAACGAACACAATCAGTGAGCAAACATAATTCTAATTTAATAGAATATTATTTGTTATTGAGATCTCAATATTCGATGCACAATTTTATGAAGTAGGAATTACATTGGTAAAAGTTTACGTTTATATTATATATTCAGTTTTACAATTTATCTTTATATCACTTAAATGTTATTAAACTAGGTGTATTTCCTGATAAAATTTTCAGGATCAAATGTAAATATGTCAATTAATGCATATTCTCATAAAACATTGAAGAAAGTTCAGCGTCACCTTAATAGAAATCTTTTAAATGGTGCAATACAATAATATTAGCCAGTTAAGAGTATTAAGTTTCCAGTTTATCAGATAAAGGATTCTCGACGCTTGTCGTGGAAATAAATTATGAAGATAGGCAAATGATTTCTTTTCTTATTTGATAATTGATAAAAATATCATTGATTCATATTCCACATTTCAAATTTTAAGTAACAATAACTGAAACAAATAGCAGTACAACCATTTCCTACTGTTGTTACTTACTCTTTGGTCAATTTGATACTATCAAGATGATAATACTATTTGTGATAGTGATAATATTCAAGCTAAAATGATAAGATCTGTGATTAATATTTTGAAATCTTTTTTTTTTCTTGAGATAATAAATCAATATCATAGAACAAATCAATCAATTTATTTATTGTAACCAAAATTTCGGATTAAATCTAAAAAATTTAGGATAGAATAGTCCGATTTTTGTCTTCTCTCTTTTTAAATAAAAATTATAACGGTATTTTCGGAACTTTTCCAAATTTTTTAAAATTTTGCTGATAAAATCAAATCTCATTTTTTCATGCATATGATTTATGTAATTTGCATCATACGATACCAATTTTATGTTAATTACGATCATTGTCACGCTGTTGGATGGATACAGAGAGAACTAGTTATAAAAACGATACATCTCTCATTAATCGAATAAAAATGGAAATTCAATCAAAAAGGAATCAGAACAAAACTAATCAAAAATTGATCGGGGAAATCACTAATCGGGAAAAAACAGCCAATCACATTTCTCTTTTTTTCCTAGAGAGAATAAGAAATAATAGGTAGGATGAATAATTTAGGAATCATTGAAGTGTTATTTTAATTAATGTAAAAAAAGAGAAGGTACTGATCCAGAATTGCTTACTATCCTCCATGTCGACAATTCCAATTGCTTATTTTGACTGAGAAATATTAATGCATATCACCTCTTTTCTTTTTCTACGAATGATAGGAAGAAAGTGCAAACTTCTCTATTAATTTTTTTGAATTATTCGAATTCTTCCGAATTACACCTTGCATTGGAATTCGAAATCTTCCCAGCAAACTCCTTTATTTGACTGCAAAATTAGAGTTGTTAAATGACGAAAATATGACTTAATATAAACTTACAATCCCTTTTGAACATTTAACATTTGAATACAACTTCTCCTTTTCCTCAATTGATGAAAAAAAAGAAATAAAAGGTAGAATTTTTCACGAAGTTATCACGATTAATAGATGATGAGTTGTCCCGAAATTTTTTCTTTCATCTTTTATGGAAATTCAAAAAGCTTCAATAATCTTTCATGTATAAAAGTTAAGAGTTGTCCAGAAATTCCAACAAATATTTGTCGACAAAAAGGCAAAAGCTTAATAATATCCAAATGACATTGATAGACATTATATCAAGTTATAGCATAAATTAATTTTCGATCGAAAAAAATCGTATTAATGTACATTGAATAGAGTATATCCCATTCACTAATGATAGAAGAATTAATTTCTATCGTAGGAATAATTATAGTATGATAATCCTCGAGATAAACAAATCATTGTTACATGTTTTTTTGCATTTAAACAATTATAAAAGAAACAGTACATAATTAGCAAAAATTTGCTAGCTATAATGATTCAGATGGTGTGAGGAAATGTAACAAAGAAAAGATGAGGAGAATTTGTGATTATCAGATGTAAAAGAAAAAGAAAATATTTAGCATCTGATAAAATGATAACTTAAGATTTTAAGATTCCAAGCGGATAATTTAAGATTTTTTTAGAAGAAATAGACAAAAAATTACGAAAGAAACAAACAATATAAATGGATAACAATCCAATCGTTCAAATGATATCATCCCTTTCACCCTTTTAGCATATTATGTGAATGCTCACTGCGATATTCTGATCTTTTCTATTGCATAATATTTCCTGAGAATAAATGAAACAAATTTTGCAGTGAATCAAATCATTGGAGGATCAAAAGAGAAGCAATGCGAAGCAGATTACAGCAAACAACAAATAGTGACGTAACGGACAAATCCTATAGTAAACAATGAACAGTAGCGTAAGATACGAACAAATCCTATATCATCCCATTCATTTAAACATATCTCCTCAAAAATTTACGATATCTCGTAAAGACGCAAAAATGAAATAAATTCGTGATGAAATTTTTTTTTAATGACAACTCATTGTTCAGTCGAACATATTTATTAAGAGTTCGCCTTGTGAAACTAGAATACGCTGATGATCCCTCAAGTAAAACTTCATTTACTTTTTATGATGAATAAAAATCAAAATTAATTTCGCATTGAACTAGTTTTAATAGGAAAAAAAATCTAAGAACTATTTCATAATTATCTTCCATCCGAACAATCAAGAAAATCCAATCATAATAAAGGAAAAATTTCTTCGCCATACTAATTATCCAATAAATCAGAAAAGTTTCAAGCATAGAATTGCTTTCTTTAATTCAATCAAATTTCATATGATAAAATCATCATCAAAAGACTAAACAAAGATCACCGATGTTACGGGAAATAAATATATCGGAAACAATCGTTTAAAATTATGCGACATATTCATAACAACGATGATCGTTCTTGTCTCGAGCAAGATAATCCCGTTCAATCAGTGATTCGATTCGTTTCTTGATTAGCTGTGGATTGGGCATGAAACGATGCTTCAGTTGCTGTGTTACCTAAATTTAAGTGAACCCAAGTTTGAAAAAAAAAAGTAAGAAGCAGACAACGACGTAAAGTTAACACTTCATCACGAGGAATTCATTCGTAAAAATTATTGACGCTCAGCTACATATTACGTCTTGATAGCTGTGAACTAAACCAGACACAACAGAAATTTCCTTTTCCTTTTTTTACAGTATCAATGCATTTAAAAAGTGGAACTCGCAAGAGAAAATGAATCGACATTCAGACAATGTATGCTCACAAAAAAAGCATTACCGTTGAAAGTCTATCTTTAAAAGAGCAAAAGCTAGAAACTAAAACGGATCTATAGAAAAAAGCAAAAAAGGCTCGAAAATAATAACGAACCTCGGCAACCAAAACATTATGTAATAACTTCTTCCTCGCTTTCATTACTCGCACAACAGCTGCTTCAACCTCATGTTTTCGGTCTTCATCGATCTAGAAAGACACTCATAATTAAAAAATATATTCAAAACCAAATTAATAATTGTTATTAATTCATATTCTCAGCCCGAAAATGAAATCATGTCTAACCACTGCATTTTTAACAAACGAAAATAAGAGTAAAGAAACAAATAATGAATCACTCTAGAACGTGTCTCTTTTCTTTCTGGTTCAGCTTCCGCTCGACCTGACACCATTTGAATTTTTATTCTTGTAAGCTTCGAAGTAAATGCATCGTTCACCCAAAACTCATCACTGTTTTCTAAAAGTATGCTTTTTATGGTCATTAGCTAGCGATGCTATCAATTTATAGGATGACAAAGGTTTAATAGTCTATGTCTGATGACTAACAGTTCATGAAGTTACACTTCTAGATCTGATTCCAAATTTATAATTCCTGTCGATGTTGTTATTTAGAAATATACATTTTTCAGAGTACTGCTACAATGTTGAAATAAATAATCCTGCTAAAATAAAAAAATTTTAGAGCTAACCGATTTCTCTTCCATGTCCTCTTCGGCATAAAATTCTTTGGGTAGGTTTTCCCATTGCCAAAGAAAGCAGCGACCGTTTTAATTCCTTGTCAGGAATTTGAGTTTCAGCTGCCAGTTCCTTAAAGTTCCTCAATGCAAAAATTAAAAAATATTTATATAAAAGAAATAGGGCATATAAAAAA